TGTTCATATTTTAAAAGAACCAGTTTATGTTTTATTTGAAATGAATGCTCGACTGCCTCGTTGGTCGAGTGGTCGCAAGTGCGACTGCCGGGCAAGGGGTTTCGGGTTCGATTCCCGGGGTCTTGTCGTTGGTAGGTTTCGAACCCGTCATCTGAAACCTCCGCGCCACAACGACTGATATTGATGGCTGTTCCTTAAAATTATTGTCACTTTACAATTGTATCCTTGTATACGTCTCCGGGGAATTACACGCGTGAACTTATGGATACAAAGACTATGAGCCAAATAGATAATGATCGTAGCTGACCTTGTAATCAAGTAGTATGACGAGTGAGAATCTTTATCGTACATTAGAATTATATGAACAGCGGAGGCGGTAAAAGTGATAACATCAATGAAATATAAATGTAACCTTGGATTTTATAATTTCATGTAAAAACCGTACCAAGAATATTTTTAAAGTCAATTTAGATTATCAATGAATATACATTTTCTGTGTTATTTTCTACATTCTCTGTCTCGTGTGATATCTACTGAGAATTTCAAAGGCGTATCCACATATTCTACTACGGCGTAGAACAAGTGCTACGCCGTAGTCTGTAGTTCGTAGTTACATAGATCTAGAATGTATAAAATATTGGTAGACAGATAAATTTCGCAATATCTACTGAAAAGGACTTATTGTGGGAAAACTATATATTATTATGAATAATGAATCTGTTAGTTTACTGAGTGACTGACTGACTCACAGACAACGCAAAGCCGAAACTACTAGATGTAGGAAGCTGAAACATGTATGTTCCTTGGGAAGCGTAGAGGAGCAAATGTATAGGATTTCATTAAACTCCCACAGGTGCGGTAAAACGGGAAACTCCTATTTGTGCTTATGAAGTCGCTGACAGAACGCTAGTAAATTATAACAGGTCGAAGGAATCGCTTCCGAAAACGAAGACAGGTGAAAGTGTTTATGGATGCCTGAGTCAAAGTCAAAGCATTTATTTCAGTTAATCCTTAATTAGACAAAAAAAAAACATAAAATTGAATTGTTAGTGAAGCTAAGTGCTCGTTCTAAAGTGTAGTTTCATAAAAATGATTTTTACAATCTCACAATTTCATCCTTACCTATTGTATATTATTGTATGTATATAAGTAACAAGAATATAGCGTTAGAATTAAATAAAGTCTAAAGACGACTATCTCGAATATGCTAACAACTTGCCCATATGTGCACACTGCACATTCAATTTGAAATAATGCTTCTATATAAGTCAATATCTTTGTTTAAATCTTTCAAAACTACAGAGAAATTTTTGATGCCATAAGATATCTAGATTACATTGGAATCAATACATTAATTAATTCTTGGAGTTTACGTAACTACTGACTGTGTTTGAGTAGTTACGTGACTAGTATATAGTATATTGATTGGCTGCTGGTACGTGACTAGGCCGGTTTGGCCGCAATAACCAAGCAAAACCTGAATGCTGAAACATAACTCTCCCATGTGTGTGTAAGTTAGTCGACAACAAACTACTGCGTGCAGTTGGAGAAACGAGTCAGGCATTTTTTCCCCGTCAAGCAGGTGAAGGTTATAAAAGACAATAATATTTATGTATAACCCAATTACATTACATATTTATCATTATGCTAAATCATACTATAGGTGTAATCGCATACTATAGATACCAACTGGCATGATTGATAATCAAAATGAATCAAATAGTTATCACTGAACTACCCACTATAAATAGTGCTTCATTAAGCAGACAGTTACAGTCACAACGAACTCACTATCCTGAAAGGATCTACATTTCTTGTTTGAGAAACATTACTGAGAAATATTAAAAGGTGAGTGACATTTTAGTAAATCTAAATTTTTATTTTTCATAATATTTTGGGACTTTTCCTATTAATTTAGGGTCAACCAGATAATTCTGGTTTGATGGCTGGCAAAATATTTAAGTAAGTGTTAATATTGTACATGGAATCAAGGCCATCTGTCCTCTATAAGTCGCCGAGAGTGAGGGATATTGCTGGTAAGCACATCATTAGCTTCATGCTCATATATTGTCGTGTTTTAGATGAAGAGCCTGCTCCTCGTAGTACTGTTGGCAGCGGCAGCCTCAGCCGCCATCGTCAGCCAGGACATAGCTGAAGCACCTGAGGCAGTCGTCACGTATGAGAGCATTATGTACAGCGATGATGCTGAAGTGGCTGAAGTAGAGGCTGCTAGCAAAAGTGTAGATATCGAGACTCGTCGCAACCTCAGCGTGGGAACCATCGGCAACAGCAGGCTGCTCGCAAAGTAAGTAGCACTGGGCTGGACATTGCTCATGTCACCTACAAAATGGGGATCTTCACAGCTAACGACAATAAGGCACTTCGAGCATCTCCATCAACTAGATCCAGCAACTAATTATTTGCTTATTTGCTTGCTCTCAAATCATTACGTGATGTGATGTTTTTTTTTACTTTGCAGTACTCAACACATCAGAGGCGCCATCGCGAACACAATTCTCGTCCACAACGCTACTTTCAACTTCGCCTCCAGTATCAGAATAGCCGCGATCCGAGTGACGCGAGTGGGAGCCTCACAGAACGCGACCCCGTCCATTGTGTCTGGAGGTCTGAACCGTAACTTTGTGACAATCAGAATTACGTCCGCTAGAGGCCGCGGCTTCAACTACAGAATCCAGATCTACGGACGTTAAACTGCTGCAAGTGACGCGCTCCTAGAAGTGGGAGAAAATACTGATTAGTTTTAAGATTGATTTGTGATTTTTAATGTATATAATAAATGTTTATTACTTCACAAAGTTGCTTTTGAACTTTCTTAAATTCCGATTTCAATTATTAAAACACGCTTAAATACATTCACTCATACTCAGACACTCCCACACATATACATACACACACACACACACACACACACACACACACACACCCACACCCACACACATCCACAGTTATGTTCCTTACATTCACGTGCAACACACACCAGACCACTCAAAAACCAGTCTCGCATGAATAAATATGAGAATAGAAAGTATTGTTATATTGTATCGTATTGTATTGTATTGATTCCACTACTGGATGCAGATCTACGGAAGAAACTTAATTTTAATTGATCTATATTTTTTTAAGTGCAACAATAATTGATAAAATAATTAAGGATGTGTTGTATGAGCTGTTATGAATTGTGCTCACGTAAATAAATAAATATGTTATGAAATCTATTTCTTGTATTATTCTCAAAGTTATCCTTGTTTGTCACTATTTCATAGATCGTTTAAAGAGAAGATCTATGTTTTTTGTCTTATATTATTTCCAATATACTTATTTTATAAATATATATTTTAGGTGTTTATATATATAAACACCTAAACTGAAGATGAAAATAATCAGAGTGTGCAGTATCTATATAGGAAACTGAATCACTCCAAAACAGCTGAAGGGATTGGGGTGGATCAGGGGTACATTATGGTATGCAATAACACATACGTTTTAATCCACTGGAACGGATGCGCGTGAGCAAGGGATTAAGGACTACAACCAGAAAATGGCCATCAAACACAGGGACGCGGCGGTTGTGGTGCTCTTGTGGGCGAGGAATGTTGCTTGTGATAAAACGAACGCAACATGAGGGAATGTGTATGCACAAATATGTAGATATCGAAAATAACCCATTGACTTTCGGACTATTGTAAGCTTTATTGGAATCGACCAACGTAGCAAGGGTTGAGGCGTCATGCACACATAAATGTCCTACAGTCGGTGGCGCTGTGTGTTGGGTTGTTCCGTTCCCAATAAACACACGTCATACTCGTGAACGGGTGCCTTCTGCTGGGTCAGGTCGGCTCTCCCATCTTGTTGGTGGGCTGATTTCGTAGAGCCGTCGAAATAGATATAAATAGATAACAGCTAATTATTATGTAATTTATACTTTTAGTAATAATTAAAGATGTGGTTAACTGTAGTATGTAATTACCTACTTTACTTTATAAAACTTGATTAGACGTATTGTAATAAAAAAATAATGTATGACAAGGGCACGGGCCAAGAGTCCGTGGAGAATTAATATGTAACATTATTATAAAAACCCTCCGGAACGCAAGCGAAGCCGCTGGCAAAGACTAATGTTCATGTAAAGCGAGAGTTTAATGAACTGGTTTCGTGTTGCTCGATCTGTAGTCGTGTGTCCAATGGTAGTGGTCCTTCAGCCATGAACACGATCTCATCTGGTTTAGAATCCTTCCTTTCTCAATTTTAAGCTGAAGTGATTTAAGAAGATATTTGGTGGAGTTTCTTGTTCTTTCTTCCCCATTTAAATCTATTTGAAGCGAGCACCATGCTGCACTGATGAACAGGCTGCTATATAGACTTATAGCTTTATTATTTTCTTTATACTATTCATATTTATTTGTTGACGTTTCAAAAGAACTAGTTTATGGTTTCATTGAAATAAATGATTTGACTTTGACAAATACTGATGATCTTTGTGGTAGACGTGATCTGGAGTGGAGACTGTGTCTAAGCATACGTAGAGTAATCCTCCGGCTAGGTGGAGTAATGATATCCGCAACGAGGCTGGCAGTGGATAAATACGTGTAGGGTCTAGGGGTTTTAGTTAGTTTATTTACGTATTAAAAAAATAACCGTCTTTTACAATATCATTAAATAGAGCAACGTCTTCGCTCATCAACTGTCCGCCATCTTCTATCAAACTCAATCATACCCTTTCATTCCGTCCGTTCGGATTCATTCACACAACATCTTATATTAGTTTACCAAGTATTCGGATACACACATACAATCCTACATACGTAAGGCTGAACATTGAATTCAAAGGTCGATGCTATTTAAAAGTGGACAAAAATGGACTGAAGCCTTCGGGCCTCCACGAGTGATAATAAAGGCTGTTCCTAAAAATTATTGTTACTCTACTCCGGGGAATAACACGCGTGAACTTATGGATGCAAAGATTATGCGCCAAATGGATAATGATCGTAGCTTACCTTGTAAGCAAGTAGTATGACGAGTGAGAATCTTTATCATACATTAGAATTATTATAAACAGCGGAGGCGGTAAAAGTGAAAACATCAATCAAATAAAAATGTAACCTTGGATTTTGTAATTTCTTGTTAAAACAGTACCGAAAATATTTTTAAAGTCAATTTAGATTAGATGATCAATTAATAAAAATTTCTACTTACTGTGCTATCTGCTTAGAATATCAAAGGCGTATATATGATACTAGCTTTTACCCGCGGCTTCCCTCGCGTCACAAAAGGATAAAAGGAGCCTATGTGACATATAACAATACACACATCGCCATCTATACCAATAATTTCGTTTTCCCTCGAGAATATCAAATTTTTCCGGGATAAAAAGTACCCTATTATTTAATCCAAACTTCTAACTTTACATCTGTAAAAATTCAAAGCAATCGGTTCAGTAGTTACGGCGTGAAAGTGGAACAAACAAACAAACAAAGAAACTCACTTTTCGATTTATAATATTAGTAAGGATTCTACTACGCCGTAGTACTTGTTCTACTAAACTAAATACTAAAGCCAAAACTGCTACATCTAGGAAGTTGAAACTGAGCATGTATGTACCTTGAGAAGTGTAGAGGAGCACCTTGTATGTACTGTCGCTGACAGAAACCTAGTAAATTAATAACAAGTTGAAGGAATCGCTTCCGAAAACAAAGATAGGTGAAAATGTTTATGGATTCCGAAATATGTGAACTCACTTTTTCATATTATAGCGAACCAAAACGCAAGCGTTGTTTCAGACAGATTTTCTGTGAGGCCGTGGTGGGCTACTAGGCTGGTACGTGACTAAGCTGACCGCTGCTGACCAAAGGCCTGTTCTCTCACGGAGAAAGTTTGACCATTAATCACCACGCTTACTCAATGCGGGTTGGTGATTTCAAACTTAGAGGTATAAATAGAAATTATAAGTCTAGATTTCCTCACTATGTTTTCTTTCAACGTTTGGCAATGGTGTCTAAATATTTTTAGAAAGTACAAATAACTCAGAATAAGTCACATTGGTATTTTGCCGTTGGTAGGTTTCGAATATTCGTGCATGAGAAACGAGCGTCTGAAACCTCCGGACCACGATCACATGTGTGTGTGCTCTCCCATGTTTGAGTGATTTATATTTATTACTAGCTTTTAACCGCGGCTTTGCTCGCGTCACAAAAGGATAAAAAGTAGCCTATGTGACATATACCAATACATACAGCGCCATCTATACAAATACTTTTGTTTTCCCTCGGGAATATCAAATTGTTTCGGGATAAAAAGTACCCTATTATTTAATCCAGACTACTAACTTTACGTCTGCAAAAATTCAATGCAATCGGTTTAGTAGTTACGGCGTGAAGTCGGAACAAACAAACAAACAAACTCACTTCCCGATTTATAATATTAGTCAGGATTTATTAGTTCGACAACAAATAATTAGACTGATGCGTGCAGCTGGAATTGATGAGTCAGGCATTTTTTTTTTTTTTTTTTTTTTTTAAGGGGGGAAAATCATCGAATGACTGCTCCCGCCTGGGTGAGGCGGAAGGGAGTGTCAGACTCTTACTGACTAAAAACCACCCCGTTCCTTCTCCTGCACGTCGAGCCGGAGCCCCGGTTACCCGTTAGGTTCTCCGCGACTCCGAATCGGCATCGGCCCTATTGGGCCCCATCTGTGGTGGTCTGATGGCTCTTTGAGGCGCGCGCGGAACGCGACGCGCCGTACGCTCGGGTCTGTTTCTGGTCGGACGGGGAGCCACCCATGCTCGCCGTCCGCAGGCCCGCGCTTACGGTGGCCGGAGATCGTCCCGCGATCCCCGACGCCCGGTGTGTCCTTCGCGATGGCTGGGTTGCGAGGAGGCAGCGCTTCGCTGCCTCACGCGTCCCGCCTCCTCCTTAGCCAGCATGACTGCTTCGCAAAAGGAGGAGACGGCATCCCAGTCCCCCTCGCTCCGCATCATGGCCTGAACTAGGCCCGGACGCGAGAGGTCTCCATCGCCGATCACTTCCCTGAGGGCACGGCGGTGCTCAGCCCACGCAGGGCATTCCGCAACAGTGTGTTCCACCGTGTCCTCAGGGTGGTATGAGTCAGGCATACGTTCCCCGTCAAGCAGGTGAAGGTTATAAAAGACAATAATATTTATGTATAACCCAATTACATTAGAGGTACATATTTAACATTATGCTAAATCATACTATAGGTGTAATCGCAAATTATAGATACCAATTGGCATGATTGATAATCAAAATGAATCAAATATTATCACTCAATTGCCCACTATAAATAGTGTTTCATTCAGCAGACTGTTACAGTCACAACGAACTCACTATCCTGAAAGGATCTACATTTCTTGTTTGAAAAACATTACTGAGAAATATTAAAAGGTGAGTGACATTTTCCGATTAATTTGGGGTCATCAAGGTAATTCTGGTTTAATGGCTGGCAAAATATTTAAGTAATCGTAAGTGTTAATATTTTACATGGAATCAAGGCCATCTGCCCTCTATATGTCGCCGAGAGTGAGGGATATTGCTGGTAAGCATATCATCAGCTTCATGCTCATATAATGTTGTGTTTCAGATGAAGAGCCTGCTCGTCGTAGTACTGTTGGCAGCGGTAGCCTCAGCCGCCATCGTCAGCCAGGACATAGCTGATGCACCTGAGGCAGTCATCACGTATGAGAGCATCATGTATAGTGATGATGCTGAAGTGGCTGAAGTAGAGGCTGGGAGCAAAAGCGTAGATATCGAGACTCGTCGCAACCTCAGCGTGGGAACCATCGGCAACAGCAGGCTGCTCGCAAAGTAAGTAGCACTGGGCTGGACATTGCTCATGTCACCTACAAAACGGGGATGTTCACAGCTAACGACAATAAGGCACTTGGAGCATCTCCATCAACTACATCTAGCAACTAATTATTTGCTTACTTGCTTGCTCTCAAATAATAACGTAATGTTTTTTTTGTGTTGCAGTACTCAACACATCAGAGGCGCCATCGCGAACACAATTCTCGTCCACAACGCTACTTTCAATTTCGCCTCCAGTATCAGAATAGCCGCGATCCGAGTGACGCGAGTGGGAGCCTCACAGAACGCGACCCCGTCCATTGTATCTGGAGGTCTGAACCGTAACTTTGTGACAATCAGAATTACGTCCGCTAGAGGCCGCGGCTTCAACTACAGAATCCAGATCTACGGACGTTAAACTGCTGCAAGTGACGCGCTCCTAGAAGTGGGAGAAAATACTGATTAGTTTTAAGATTGTTTGTGATTTTAAATGTGTACAATAAATGTTTATTACTTCACAAAAGTGCTTTTGAACTTTCTAAAATTCCGAGAGTATATATCACACTGTAGTAATTTTATTATGTTACTAATATTAAACCCATCATTGAATAGCAAACAGTGTTAAAGATTCAAACAATAGTTCAAAAACTTTTGCAATACTGATCTGACTAATCGCTAGTCTGTGACTGCTTTTTTCTGGACATATCTAATCTTATACTTACTATTATATAAAGCTGAAGAGTTTGTTTGTTTGATTGAATGCGCTAATCTCAGGGCCCACGGGTCCGATTTGAAAAAATACTTCTGTTTAGGATAGTTATTTACTTGGATAGATCTATAGCCTATAAGATATCATGCTGCGATTCATAGTAATTAGTAATTAAAACGAGTAATTAGTAATTAGAACGAGCAGCTACTAATAAATATTTCGACCAAAAGTAGTCGTGTAGTGATCACTAGTGTTTCTATATCGGAGGTCCGCGGTATTTTAATACGATAATTAATTACTTAGACGACAAAGAATGCTAAAGAGATGCGTACAGACAAACTGCATGTGTTTGTCACATTACATAACGTCACGATTCTTCATCCTCGATCTGACACCAGTTGCAGTTGTTTAGTTAATCTCAACTAATTGCATGTTACAATCTACGCCGTAGCCACAGTGCTACGATGTAGCAAAAATATGTGGCGTATAGATAATGTAGATACCGTTGTGTACATGTTACTTCAATCTTTATCAAAATTTTACAAAAGAACTAAACTAAAACACTACAAGTACACGTGGAACAGACGGCATTAAGTTAGTACCTTAAATTGTCGATGTACTTAATTATACGGAGTCCGACATACCATCCTTACTTATAAATCGGAAAGCGAGTTTGTTTGTTTGTTTGTTTGTTCCGCTTTGACGCCGTAACTACTAAACCGATTGCTTTGAATTTTTGCAGACGTAAAGTAAGAAGTCTGGATTAAATAATAGGGTACTTTTTATCCCGGAAAAATTTGATATTCCCGAGGGAAAACAAAAGTATTTGTATAGATGGCGCTGTGTGTATTGATATATGTCACATAGGCTACTTTTTAGCCTTTTATGACGCGAGCGAAGCCGCGGGTGAAAGCTAGTATGTTATAATAATGTTAGATAGGCTGCATTCGTTACATGCATGTATCACCGGATTCTAAAACTTCTCAGTTACAGAAAGCCAAGTACAGTACAACTAGTGAAAGGAGGATGTCAGATATTTACACCTGTATTTGACCCTTCGGGGATGAAGAATCGTGACGTTATGTTATGTGACAAACACGTGTAGTTTGTTTGTACGCATCTCCTTGTTGCTGGCAGTGGATAAATACGTAAGGCTGAACATCGAGTTCAAAGGCCGATGCTATTTAAAAGGCGTACATCTACAAACAGTGGACAAAAATGGGCTGATTATAATCATCAAAATCATCATAACCAGCCAGTAAGTGGCCAAAGGCCTCTTCTTACGCAGAGAAGGTTAGAGCATTAATCACTACGCTTGCTCAATGCGGGTTAGCGATTACAAACTTACATATAATTAGAAATTATAAGCCCAGGTTTACTCACGATGTTGTCGTTCACCGTTTGTCAGTGGTGTCTAAATGATTTTAAAAAGTACATAGAACTCGGAAAATGTCACATTGATTTTTGCCATTGGCAGGTTTTAAGCCCGAACTCTCAAGCATGAGAAAGGGGCATCTGAAACCTCCGGGCCTCCACGACTGATTACAATGGCTGTTCCTTAAAATTATTGTTACTCTACAATTGTATTCTTGTATACTTCTCCGGGGAATTACACGCGTGAACTGATGGATACAAAGAATATGAGCTAAATAGATAATGATCGTAGCTGACCTTGTAATCAAGTAGTATGACGAGTAAAAATCTTTATCGTACATTAGAATTATTATAAACAGCGGAGGCGGTAAAAGTGAAAACATCAATTAAATAAAAATGTAACCTTGATTTTATAATTTCTTGTTAAAACAGTACCAAAAATATTTTTAAATTCAATTTAGATTAGATGATCAATGAATAACAATTTCGACTTACTGTGCTATCTGCTTAGAATATCAAAGGCGTACATAAATACATATATACACACATTCTACTACGCTGTCGTACTTGTTCTACTAAACAGTTTCGGCTTTAGTATTTACTAAAGCCGCAACTATTAGATCTACCACTCTAAGTAAATTATTACAGGTTTAGGGAATCGCTTCCGAAAACAAAGTCAGGTGAAAATGTTTATGGATGCCAAAATATGGTAACTCACTCATTCATATTATAGGGAACCAAAACGCAAGCGTTGTTTCAGACCGGTTTACTGTGAGGCCGTGGTGGGCTACTAGGCTGGTACGTGACTAAACTAGTCACAATAACTAACCAAACCTAGTCATGCTGAAGTATAGCTCTCCCATGTTATCATAATCATCATCAACAGTCTATAAGTGACCACTGCTGACCAATAGCCTCTTCTCTCAGGGTGATAGTGTGAGCAAAAATCACCACGCTTGCTCAATGCGTGCTGGCGATTCCAAAACTTATAAATAGAAATTATAAGTTCAGGTTTCTTCACGATATTTTCCTTCAATGTTTATCAGTGGTGTCTAAATACTTTCAGAAAGTACATTAACTCGGAAAAAGTCACATTGGTACTTGCTGTTGGTAGGTTTTGAACCCGCGCACTCGTGCATGAGATACGAGCGTCTTCAACGATCTGGTCACCACGACATGGGTGTGTGTGCCCTTCCATGTGTGTATTTCCTCCGAAAACAAATACTCAGACTATTGCGTGCAGTTAGAATTGACGAGTCAGTCATACTTTCCCCGTCAACCAGGTGAAGATATAAAAGACAATATTTTAAGTGTGGGCGAGCCATACTTCGGCACGAATTGGCCGGCTCGACCGGAGTGACACCACAGTCTCACAGAAAACCGACGTGAAACAACGCTTGCGTTGTGTTTCGTCGTGTGATTGAGGTTACTGGAGGCCCAATTAACCCCTTCACCAGTCTCCTCAATCCCCAATTCCCAAAAGGCCGGTAACGCACTTGTAACGCCTTGGTGTTTCATGTGTTCATGGGCAGCGCCAATTGCTTACCATCAGGCGATCCGTCTGCTCGTTTATCTGATTATGGCATCAAAATGTCCATCAATATTAATTAGGTATATATTACCCAGTTAAATTATTTATTTATCATTATTTTAAATCGTACTATAGGTGTAATCGCATACTATAGATACCAATTGGCATGCTTGATAATCAAAATTAATCAAATAGTTATCACTGAACTGCCCACTATAAATAGTGCTTCATTCAGCAGACTGTTACAGTCACAACGAACTCACTATCCTGGAAGGATCTACATTTCTTGTTTGAAAAACATTACTGAGAAATATTAAAAGGTGAGTGACATTTTAGTATATCTAAAATTTTATTTTTCACAATATTTTGTGACTTTTCCTGTCAATTTGGGGTCAACCAGGTAATTCTGGTTTGATGGCTGGCAAAATATTTAAGTAATCGTAAGTGCTAATATTTTATATGGAGTCAAGGCCATCTGCCCTCTATAAGTCGCCGAGAGTGAGGGATATTGCTGGTAAGCATATCATCAGCTTTATGCTCATATATTGCTGTGTTTCAGATGAAGAGCCTGCTCGTCGTAGTACTGTTGGCAGCGGCAGCCTCAGCCGCCATCGTCAGCCAGGACATAGCTGATGCACCTGAGGCAGTCATCACGTATGAGAGCATTATGTACAGCGATGATGCTGAAGTGGCTGAAGTAGAGGCTGGTAGCAAAAGTGTAGATATCGAGACTCGCCGCAACCTCAGCGTGGGAACTATCGGCAACAGCAGGCTGCTCGCAAAGTAAGTAGCACTGAGCTGGACATTGCTCATGTCACTTACAAAATGGGGATGTTCACAGCTAACGACAATAAGGCCCTTCGAGCATCTCCATCAACTAGATCCAGCAACTAATTATTTGCTCTCAAATCATTACGTAATGTTTTTTTTTACTTTACAGTACTCAACACATCAGAGGCGCCATCGCGAACACAATTCTCGTCCACAACGCTACTTTCAACTTCGCCTCCAGTATCAGAATAGCCGCGATCCGAGTGACGCGAGTGGGAGCCTCACAGAACGCGACCCCGTCCATTGTGTCTGGAGGTCTGAACCGTAACTTTGTGACAATCAGAATTACGTCCGCTAGAGGCCGCGGCTTCAACTACAGAATCCAGATCTACGGACGTTAAACTGCTGCAAGTGATGCGCTCCTAGAAGTGGGAGAAAATACTGATTAGTTTTAAGATTGATTTGTGATTTTAAATGTGTACAATAAATGCTTATTACTTCACAAAGTTGTTTTTGAACTTTATTGAATTCCGATTTCAATTATTAAAACACGCTTAAACATACTCACTCATACTCAGACACTCCCACACACACACATAAACACACACCCAGACATACACACGCAAAGACACACCCATATACATACACGCTTATGTTCCTTAGATTCACGTGCAACACACACCAGACCACTCACGAACCAGTCTCGAATGAATAAATATGAGAGTAGAAATAAAGTATTGTTATAATGTGTCGTTGTATTGTATTGATACTGCTACTGGACGCAGATCTATGAATACCCCACAATGTTTAAGACTCAAACAATAGTCCAAAAACTTTCGCAATACTGCATTTGTATCATCGCTAGACTATGCGCTGGTTTCACCACCCCTGATAAACTTATGTGACCGATAGTTCATTCAAATTACGTTCTTAATTCAAATTTATCCGGTAGATAACGGCTATCCAGATATTGTGAAAAAAGCCCTGTGACTGCTTTTTCTGGACATATCTAATATTATACTTACTATTATATAAAGCTGAAGAGTTTGTTTGTTTGAACGCGCTAATCTCCGGAACTACTGGTCCGATGTAATTGAGCCTCCGGTTACCTCACTCACACGACGAAACACAAGCGTTGTTTCACGTCGGGCTTCTGTGGGGCCGTGGTATCACTCCGGTCGAGCCGGCTCATTCGTGCCAAGATTATATAGGAAACTCTCTACGTAGAGGCGGTACATATTTCAGCTGCGGACTGTCACAGATTGTTAATGATGACGTTCTGCAGTGGACGTCTTGTACCAACTATGGTGATGATGATGACGATATTTAAAACTCTTATTGAACCAATACGGCGTAGCATGTTACAAGCTATGCCGTAGCTACAGTACTACGTTGTAGCAAAAAAAATGTGGCGTATAGACTATAGCGTGGCGTATGTATTATGTATATCATCCAAATTATTTTGTGCATATCGCATTTTTCTTCAATCTTCGTCTAAATTTTTGACAAAAGAACAACTAATAAAAGTGACCAAAAGTACAGGGGAACAAAAGACATTAAATTAGTACCTTAAACTGTCGATGTACTTAATTATACGGAGGCCGACATACCACATGTTATAATAATGTTAGATAGGCTGCATTCGCTAGATATATGCATCACCGGATTCTAAAACTTCTCAGTTACAGAAAGTCAAGTACAATACAACTGGTGAAAGGAGGATGTCAGATCTCTACACCTGTATTTGACCCTTTGGGGATGAAAAATTGTGACGTTATGTTATGTGACAAACACATGCAGTTTGTTTGTACGCATTTCTTTATCGTATAAGTAATTAATTCTCGTATTAAGTGACCGCGGACCTCCAATAAAGAAACAGGAACACTACAGAACTACTGTTGGTCAAAATATTCAAGGGAAAAAACAGTCACAGTCTAGCATTGTTACAATGTTTCAATCGTAAACATGGTGGGCTATTAAATGATGTATCATATCTTTCAAACTAAACTCGTCAAAACTAAATAGGGCCCACCAACGAAAATTTTGTATATTTGTCTTGAAGTAACTCATGAGGTATCACTACATAGTATAAAACAAAGTCGCTTTGTCTGTCCCTATGTCCCTTTGTATGCTTAAAACTTTGAAACTACGCAACGGATTTTGATGCGATTTTTTTAATAGATGGAGTGATTCAAGAGGAAGGTTTATATGTATAATACATGCATATTGCACCCGTGCGAAGCTGGGGCGGGTCGCTAGTTGATGACTAAAATAAAGTAGTTAACAAGTACATAAGTAATTATAATATTCCAGACAAAACATTGAGCGTTTTATTTAAGTAGGTAAGCAGAAATAGTGAAGAGATTGAAAAAACGTGATATGAAGAAATTTATGTCTTGTGTTCATGGTGTGTCTGTAAGAGTAAATGTTGAATGGAGCTTGTTTTAAGAGTTTATAATTAGGTACTAAAGTGTGTTGTTTACTCTCGGAATTCAAGAAAGTTCTAAAACAACTGTATGAAGTAATAAACATTTATTGTACACATTTAAAATCACAAATCAATCTTAAAACTAATCAGTATTTTCTCCCACTCCAAGGAGCGCATCACTTGCAGCAGTTTAACGTCCGTAGATCTGGATTCTGTAGTTGAAGCCGCGGCCTCTAGCGGACGTAATTCTGATTGTCACAAAGTTACGGTTCAGACCTCCAGACACAATGGACGGGGTCGCGTTCTGTGAGGCTCCCACTCGCGTCACTCGGATCGCGGCTATTCTGATACTGGAGGCGAAATTGAAAGTAGCGTTGAGGACGCGAATTGTGTTCGCGATGGCGCCTCTGATGTGTTGAGTACTGCAACGCAAAAAAAACATTACGTAATGATTTGAGAGCAAGCAAATAATTAGTTGCTGGATCTATTTGATGAAGTTGCTCGAAGGGCCTTATTGTCGTTAGCTGTGAACATCCCCATTTTGTAGGTGACATGAGCAATGTCCAGCTCAGTGCTACTTACTTTGCGAGCAGCCTGCTGTTGCCGATGGTTCCCACGCTGAGGTTGCGACGAGTCTCGATATCTACGCTTTTGCTACCAGCCTCTACTTCAGCCACTTCAGCATCATCGCTGTACATAATGCTCTCATACGTGATGACTGCCTCAGGTGCTTCAGCTATGTCCTGGCTGACGATGGCGGCTGAGGCTGCCGCTGCCAACAGTACTACGATGAGCAGGCTCTTCATCTGAAACACAGCAATGTATGAGCGAAATCCTGATGATGTTATATGATGGACTGGATAACCAACAATGTGCTATCACTCTTGTCCCTTATTCATAGAAAGCAGCCTGGCTCTGTGTAATATAATGACGTCATTAAAGTTGGTTGACTCGATATGAATTCTGGGTTCTAGTCAGAATAATTACATGGTGAAGAATTTGTAAAGTTATGCATGTTAAAATATTTTGTTTGTAGGAAAAAATCATGTACCTTTTTAATATTTCTTCGTAATGTTTCTCAAACAAAGAAGGTAGATCCTTTCAGGATAGTGGGTGTGTTGTGACTGTATCAGTTAACCCAATGAAGCACTATTTATAGTAGTCATATCAGTTATCATATTATTTGATTAATTTTGATTATTTAAAATTATGTCAATGCTATCTATTAGTATGAATTTATATCAGTAGTAGTAAGTAGGTTCGATAAAGTATTTACATTATAATAGATAGTAATTGACACGCTTTTAAGTAATCAAATATTATCACTGAATTGCCTACTATAAATAGTGCATCATTCAGCAGACTGTTATAGTCACGATCTACAGACGTTAAACTGCTGCAAATGATGCGCTCCTTGGAGTGTGAAAAGATACTGATAGGGATTACATTGAGGATGAATGCATTTTTCTTAATAAACGCTTAGTTATACACAAAGTGTACTTTTATTTACTACCTAGACGTTTGTGGAGAAAGTCCTCTAAACTTGAAATTTTAGGACACATAGGCAATAAACTTATTGCAAAAATTGAAAAGTCATTTTCGTTATCAGATTATTTGAGTGATATTAATTGGCTTTACTTTAACTTAAATAATAAACGATGAGACATGTAGTACAAATGCAATATTTTATCTGACTTTATCACTCTCTACTTGATAATATATCTATATACTCTTATTTGCTTTAGCTTATAAATATTATTTTGTGATTTTGTAAAAAAGAGGTTTCACCTCATTTTATGTTTGATTTATTCACCGTCCAATTGACAACCGTCAATGTCACAAGTAGACATGTGGGTCAATTATTATCGAGTCACATTGTAATATATTAAATATTCATCTGCTTAAACCTTACGTTCTTATAGTTTTCATTAAAATTCTTAGCCGTTTTCAGAGAGGAGCGAAACTGAAAAGGTGAGTTGCGTTTTCATTTTTTAAACATATTTTCAGATTTGTAGTGAGGACAAAAAGAGCTTGCGAATCCTAAAAAAGGACAAACTTGCGTTCACACCACCATCTAGTTAATGTTTCATCACCATCACCATGAGTGTAATAGCCATTGACATTATGGTAATAAATGTCTTCAAAACAGTTTCAGATGAAGGGTCTACTTCTTCTCGTACTACTTGCTGCAGCAGCGTCAGCATCTATTCTCAATTATGAGGTGACTGAAGAAGATAATCAGGAAGAAGATACTTTGTCCCCAGATCTTGACGATACACCTGATCATTATGAAGAAGAAGTGATGCTCAGAATATCACCAACACCAACGGCGACCGATATTGATGAATGGGCTGAATTATTTAGAATGGCTGTCGAAGAAGGCATGATTCATCGCAATCTTAGCATGGGGAACATCGGTGCACACGATATTTTATTATCCAAGTAAGTTATTACACAACTTTGCTACTAGCATTCGAATATACGCGATCCGAATGACATCAGTGAGAGCGTCATAAAATGTAACCCCGGTCAAGGTGTTTGATAAAAAATTCAACAAAATTCAACGTAAACATCAGTTATAGCTGGCTAGTCTATATGTAGTAGGGGTGATCCCAAAATTTTATTTTGATCTATAGTCAGTCGCAGTTTTAAATCTTTGGCATATTTGGCATTCATTGTTTTATGCCATTTAATTTTTTTAGAACCCATCATATCAAAAATGACGGCGATACAAATGTATCAGAAGATGTGTATTTTCGTTGCTGTCCTACCACTGTTATAATAACTGCGATTCGTGGGGGATCGGTTTCAGAGAACGTACGCCCATCCGTGGTGTCAGGAGGAGTCGGGCATAACCATGTGTGCATCAGACTACATTCACAGAAAGGACATGGTTATCGGTACTGCATCGAGATCTACGGAAGAAAGTAACGTTTACCTTGAAGTCTTTTGTTAAAATATTTATATAAGGACAAGTAATGTACGTATTTTTGATCAATTTGCGTTGTAGAAATAAATATATTTAAAGTTTTGTTTTTATTTTTTTATTTAAACACGTTGCCCCACACTAGAATTTTCTCCTGTGTCGTGGGTGCGTTTACAAACATACAAGTTCACATTCACATGACCCCCAGACCCAGAACAACAATCTTCGAATTGTCACAAAGAGTTTCTCTATACGAAAATCGAACCCGCACACCCGCGGTAGCCAGTTACCCAGCCACCGCACCAACCATCAAATCATCATCAGTTTGATTACTTCCCATCGACAGCTCGTTACTTACTAGTTCACTAGATTATAAGCCTTCTCCTTGATGAACCACGATCTCAATGCTTGGCAGGCTAGGTGGAGACCGCAATTGGTTTGTCCTTTCTGCCTGTTTTCCGTTATATTTTACAATAGGCAGAAGGAGCAGTAGTACAAAGTTTTGATAAGTATATACTACCATCATCACACGATGCAAGGCAAAGAGTTTGAATTACAATGATAATGGATAAAAACAAGAAAAAAAAATTAAGAAAATAACACACACATTACTTTATCGTAAGTGTGTGGTAAGAAGCTTGCTATAAATGCTAATAAGAAGAATCATCATCATCATAACATCACGCCTTTTGTCCCTGAAAGGATAGGCAGAAGTGAACATTACGGCACCTAATGCCACTGTACAATGTAACACCCACTTTTCATATTTTACGTTATGAGTTCCAATAATAATAGGTGGTGAGCGTATTGTCATATACCGGGCACAATTGCAGACACCGAGCTACTACTGAGAATTTGTAACTTTCTTTTTGATCGTATCGTTATATACACACAAAGGTAACCACGGAATATAGAATATTCCGTGAAGGTAACAATCGACTCAATTTAAAATACACAGTACGTACAAACGTTCAAGGCCACGATTGTTTTTGTTTATTAATTCACTGATAGCAGTATCATACATCAATTACTCATTTTTACGTATTTTTTTATCTTTAATAGTTTTATGCCTTTCATTAATTTATAACTAGTAATTTCGGGTGTAAATACTGATATCATTTGATTTATCCAGCTTTACTGACAGACTGACTGACGACAGACAATTCAATTTTATTGTTTCAAGTGCATTATTAAGATTTAATTGAAATAAATGCTTTGTCTTTTGACTTTAATAAATCAAAAAGAAGCCTGAACTTGTACTAACTTTTTATTTTAGTTTCAACTAGCTTCTGCCAGCGGCTTCGCCCGCTATCCCAGGGGTAAAATGCCTATGTATCACTTCAGACCATAATCTACCTCGGTTCCGAATTTCATTCCGGTCCCTTCACTCGTTTTAATATGACTGAGTAACAAACATACACATAAACTCACATATTTTCATTTATAATATCGAGTTAAGCCAAAATCAACCATTGGCCTTTCAGTTACAGCGTAAAGTCTATGAATGAGTATTGTAAACGTTAGAGTAGACAAATACAATCAGAAATCACCGAATTGCTAAGCTATCGGGAGTTTCACGTGTTATTGTGAGTCAACCATAAAAGATAGACATATGCTGTCGAGGAATATTTTTTTTTTAATTTTAAGGAGAATATTTCCGTCATACATGATTTCTATGTAGCTTTAACATATAAGCCTGCAAACGCGACAGAAGCTTAAAAAATGGAATAACTTCACCCGTTTTCCCAATATTTCCCTTCACTGCTCTGCTCCTATTGATCGTAGCGTAATGAAAAGTATACTATAACCTGCCCAAGAGTATGAAGAATAATTGTGCCAAATTTCGTTAAAATCCGTCGAGTAGTTTTTGTTTCTATAACGAACATACAGACAGACAGACAGACAGACAAAAATTTTACTGATTGCATTTTTGGCATCAGTAGCGATCCCTAACCACCCCTTGATAGTTATTTTTTAAATATATTTTATGTACAGAATTGACCTCTCTACAGATTTATTATAAGTATAGATTAATCAAACAACTGTATAACATATGGAGCTACGAGCTGCTACGCCGTAGTAGGAGAGCTACGCCGTAGCACACTGCTACGTGCCATAAGAAACTTGTGTTTGGTGTTTATTTGATTATGGTATTGCATTGTTAATTAATGAAAAGTATAGTTATGACAGTGTAATTAATGTCATTATACAGCAGATTTGAGAGATTAGTTAATGAGTATTGAAACAGAAAATGTTATCAACATCACATCAACAGCCTATAAGTGTCCACTGCTGACAAATCACGATGTCTTCCTTCACCGTATGTCAGTGGTGTCTAAATAAAATTATTTCTTTATAATTATTTCCAGGGCACATAATTTCTTCTAGTTATGATAAATTATATGTATAAATATGTTCCGTACAGGAAATACATTCTTAACCATTACATTGTTATTTTTTTGGCTTGACCTGGTTCAAAAATGTATCATTTTAAACAAGTGAAGTGGTTTTATTGACCTCTATTCTAGCAATCGAGCTCTTTCATTTAATATCTATAATGGAGGTATCTAATCAAGGTTAAGAGTGTGTTCCAAACATGAGATCAATCTGTTGGCAGGAAGGGGGTGAAATTAGAATTACTTGACTCAGTCAAACAAAGGGGCAAACTAAATAAAACCGTTTCATAGCTGTCCTGAAAGTATACCTTGATAATTATTTATTTATTTATTTATTTATTTACACATAACATACAATTAATATCCTTACAGGCTAGACCCAATGCGATATTGCAGCAAACATTAAAATAACAATAATAAACAAAATATATAAACAAGAAATATCCATATACTCTATAGAATATATAGTAAGTTCAAGAATATATAATAAGCTTTTACTACATATAGCAAATCCTATGCATGGCTGCTCGTGTAAATTCTCCTAAAGAGCAACAGAATATGTCTACGTCATTAGCAACGAGGTTCAGAGTGCGAAGCGCACACGTGAGCGGTGCCTCCCGCAGCAAGTTAGTTCGCGACCGTGGTTCTGCCAGTAACCGCGGCTGGCGACGACGACTCACGTATCCATCGGGCACGACCAGTTCAACCATTCGCAATATATCCGGATCAATTATCAATTACATTATTTGCTAATGTGGTTCATTAACCACATTAGCAAATACTGAGTTCTTATAAAAATTACTAAACTACAGACGACGTCGTAGTTCGTACTCTCCTAGAAGTTTCTTAACAACACTGTTTTGTAATATTAACAATGAATTACATTATCACAAAGATATCAGACAATAAAGTTATTAATGACAATAAAATCACAGCTATTGTTTATGTCTTAGTACGGTGGCCAGCACATAAATCTACTCCAATCTATCAATTTTTGTCATTGGATTTTGGACTTTATATATAAAAGATAGAGTTTAATAAAGAAATTTGATAGAAAAGGGTAGTTTGATCTGCTACTCATTGTACATTGATAGACGTTGTCTTATCTTTTCTACTATAAATACTAGACCCTTTTCTAAGGCAGTTATAGTTCAAAACAGCATATCCTGAAAGAATCTACCTTCGAAGGAATACAATTTTTTGGTCAAGGTTTGTCGTTTTTTATTATTTATATCAATAATTCTTAAAGATGTCTCCTGCACTTTTTATGGGACCTGGCAATATTTTTATGGCTCTCCCATATTTTAACTCTGATGTGTTTGTAAATACATCCACAAAAGATAAGAAAATTCTAGTGAGGGGTAAAATTGTTTTTGAAAAAAAAAGCGATGATATATTATCTATCTAAAAACCTTGCCTATATTTCAGATGAAGAGCCTGTTCCTCATAGTTTTGTTGGTAGTAGCAGCCTCAACAGCTGTCATCAATCAAGAAACGGCTGCTGATCCTGACTTGGTTGAAACATTTGAGGAGTTTGACTTGGGTGATGACCCTGATATTAGCTATGAACCTGACGTAGCTGACGTGACCGAAGTTCCTATCAGTGACGTCACTAGTCCGAGTATTGATGTAGCTACCTGTTGCAGTGTTGGTGCACGCAGTGGAAAACTCCTCGTCAGGTAAAATGCCCTAATCTAAACTTAGTTAAGTGTGAATACATAATCATAAGCAGAGGTGCTTACACTCAATTTAAGACCCTACTTATTCCTACTATGGAGTCTAATTTACTACTACATGTAATCTATATATATAAAAAAAAGTCGTGTTAGTTACACCACTTATAACTCAAGAACGGCAGAATAGATTTGGCTGAAAATTGGTAGGAAGGTAGATTAGAGCCAGGAGACTGACATAGAATACTTTTTAACCAACATTTTTTTTTACTTTTTACCGAAAATCACGAACGGGGATGGGAAAAAATGGGATTACGCGTACGAAGTCGCGGGCAGAAGCTAGTATAATATATTATGGGTATGAGTGTGGCAGGCCCATTTCAGGCTCAAAGCTCAATAATTCTGAACATAGGATTCAAATAAAACAATATACCTCTAAATATAGTATCATTAACTTTCGCCGGCGGTCGTGCCCATGTTCCTGTGGTACAAAAATATATCATAATTTAAACCTGAATCAAATTTCATTCCGATCCCTTTAGCAATTTTGACACGATTAAGTAATAAACATATACAAATTCACTTACATTCATAATATCAGTAAGGTTTGGTTTTAGATCCAACCACGTCAGACGCGGGAAGCTAAATGTGACTTACGTACAGAATGTAACTTTCCGGACCGGTTCGCATCTTATTACGGCTATCCGGATCACACATATTGGCCCTATGCAAGGTTCCAGAGCATCCATAATTGCTGGAGGCCTGAATCGCAACTTTGTGACCATCAGGCTGCAATCCGCTAGAGGCCGCGGCTACAAATTCAGGATTCAAATCTACGGACGCTAAACTCCAAATTACGGAGTTTTATGAGCATTTGATATGATTGTAAAATGCATCTACATAATATTTATTTATTTATTTAGTCTTTAATGTACACAATTTTAATATGGCACACAAGGCGGACTTAATGCCATATGGCATTCTCTACCAGTCAACCTTAGGGTAATATGTCACCGGTGACCTACGTTAGCGGAGGATTTGCCTTCAGCAATTTTCTGGCAGTCAAAGGCTTAAGTATATTACTAATACTATTTTAAAAACCATTGAAGATATTTTAGTAACCACACAACCATATCAGTATCAACTGTAAGATAGCTAGTGAACTATCGTCTTGCAATCATAAGATCGCCTCCTCCTTTTTTTGATAAGAAAAATCATCGCATGACTTCTCTTACCAAGGGTGAGGCGAGAGAGAGTATCAGACTCTTACTAACTAAAAACTACCCAGTTCCTACTTCTCCTTTGAGCTGGAGCATCGGCCCGAACACCCAAGGGCATTAACGCACTTGTTATTCCTCAGGTATTGTAGATGTGATTGCATGATAGCGGTGATCACTTTATTTATCATGTGATCCGTATGTTCGTTTCTTTCAAATCTCATAAAAAGCTATTTTAAATCATTCCCTAAAAACCATGGTTCTTGGTTTGTTTCACCATTTTAATATTAAGGAAAAACAAGAAAAACAAACGTATTTATATTTATAACTTTTATTTGTACTTATCATTAAAATAATTATAATATTATACCTAAAAACGCCTACATTTTAATTAAGAGCAATGGATATTTTAAGACCAGTAAACTTTTAAATTGTCATTAGGAGTTTATTTTTAATATCACAAGTATTTTTGAACTTACCCTGACTATTCACGGGTTCTAAAACCGGCAGCAAAATGCTTAAATAACCATTACGTGATCTGTGCATCTCTTGTGCATGATATGTTAACCTTTAATCGATTGTTCATGACACTGACAAATGTATATTGTAAACCGATTTCTTAAAATGTGTTGTGTACCTAAAGAGTCGTTGGCTCACTTTAAAAAAATCAAATTACATTAAATTTAAGGGCTAATAAAATTAAGGTGAAGAGCCAATGTTAACAATGGTGCTTTTTCACTATTTATATTGTAAACTAATAATATTGATAACTAATTAGAAAGAGATACCAATATTATATCATAAGTCTCGTGAGAAATATTAAATTAATTATATTTTACATGGCGTACCCACTTATCTATTTGACGAGGTACCTCAATTCATTTCTCACCGCACCGATTATCGAGCAATGCTAATAACTACGGGCTCTCATGTGGCTTGAAACAAGTCGAGATACCTCGAACAGTTACAACTTATTTAAAATGGCGAATTCAATTATTTGAGCAGTTAATCGCTGCGTAGACTAAGATTGTGTAGGAGAATGCTCGTCCTCTACCCGATTGAATTCGGATTGTGACGAATTCTGATCCAAGACCACCAGCAACTCGAGTTGCTATGGGAGTATTTGATCCAACTTGGTTAACTCTGATTGCTGTGATATTAGTTCCTCTTGTTCCACGGAAGGTTACTTCTTGATCATGTATCAATAAAGTAGTTGCAGCGACGTTATGAGTGATCCTGAAAGATAAAGTATTTTTAAATACTTTCTTATTATAAAAACATAGATCTATAACTGCAATTTTTATGGATCAGATGGTGCAAACAACAATAAATGCATCAGTAGACAGTAGTACAAGGTACAAGGACAGGAGTAGAAGGGGCCAGTAGAATTGGTCCCATTTCACGACAGATTTAGGATATGAACATGTATCCATCAGTTCTTATAAATTATAACACATCTGTACATGTCACTTGTTTTTAACGTGAAATAAAGATTGATCCACTGATGGTTAAAGCGACAACTATCGCCAATGAACAATCGCAACACGAGATGACCTAACCTAACCTAACAAATGCGTTGGCGGCCTATTCTATTGAAGGTTTGGAAGTTGTACCAGTTAATGCAGTGTTTAATTATGCAATATAACGTACCTAGACATCAACCTATCGTCAGCACCAAAAGTTCCCAAAGAGAGATTGTTACGGGCAGCTGCTAGACCAGTTTCCTCGTCCTCTTCTCCTATTTCATCCTCTGGTACATCCAGTTCAGTATTGTCTGGCCGGTCTGGTACATTTAGCTCATTTTTTTCTGGTACATCCAACTCATTATTATCTACTGTATCTGGTATATGAAGCTCTTTATTTTCTAATGCTGCTGCCTGTTCTCGGTCATTGTTAGTGACTCCTGCAGCGGCTGCAGCTGCTAATAGCACGAGTACTATAAAGATCTTCATCTGAAAATTATTACATTTTTCAATACAAATCTTCACTCATAGTTCCTCAAACTCATTTCCTTATATTGCTTGCTGACATATTGAGTGGAAAAAATGTGAGTAGCTGAAGGTTGTAATTTATTGACTACTGTCGGCAAGTCACGATATTTTTTTTTTAAATACTTAGCAAATATATGCGAAAACTTGTAATTGGCCATACTTTAATCATAGTTATATATAATTGTCAATTCCAGCTGTAGGTTTTCTAAATGTAAAAATAAAAATAAAATAAAATAGCACATATATGTATTGTTTGGAATATTTCCTGATTATCTTGCGATACTGAATGTCATCTAGTTTGCACGTGTCCTTCGATGGATCCTCAAAGTGCGACTATATTGGATGCTATATTGCTTTACTAGTATGCTTTGTGTTTTTCTATTGTATCTATGTGCGTGCCAACTGTCAAATAAATTCTTTTTCTTTGTTTGTTTTTATATTTTTTTTAACCCACTATGCAATAGGACTCGGAACATAGCTGGTGAGTGGTTCATAATTCATAGTACTTTTGTAGTATTTTAGTTTCCTAGCAGATAAAAATGATATTCTAATGATGGTGTAGCAAAAGTAAAAATTAAACCCCTCGTATGTCTAAACGTGGAACCACGCGAGACGCAATGTATTATAAAAACATAGATCTATATCTATCTATTGTGTCTTATACACGGGCATTCAAGTGGTTTAACAAAATAATGCATAAAATATTGTTATTAAGTTACCTTTAATTTCCGAATCTGGCTTCTTCTAACAGCACTGTTTACATTTGATTGTATACACAAAAGTATCTCTATTTATATCAAAATACTCGCTCAATCTATCAAGATAAGATTATCTTTTTCTCTTGAAATCATCAAGCTATATAAATATAAACTGTAAAGCCCCTAAATGTATGTCAATAACGTTTTTTAATAGAAGATTATTTGATTTTTTATGATAGGATTGGCAATTGCAATCACCTGATAATTATATGTTTATATTTGGAATATACTAGCTACTCCCGTGTGATTCACCCGCTCTGCTCGGCTCCTATTTATCGTAGTGCGATGTTTTATAGGCTAATAGCCCTTCTCGATAAAGGGATTACCCGACATAAAAAGATTTTTTGAAATCGAACTGGTAGTTCCCAAATTTAGTGCGTTCAAACAAACAGACTCTTCAGCTTCATATAATAGTTTAGGATCACACTTTTTTTAAGGGCGGAAAATATGGCCGGAGATCGCATAAGATCACACTTAATATTATAAATGTGAAAGTTTCTTTATTTGGATGTTTATTCGTCAATCACGCTGAAACTACTGAACGGTGTTTTAAAGAGATTTGGTATACGGGCAGTGTAGGGGCTGACTTAGATGATGGGATACTTTATACCGCGAATAACTGCTCAAACAGACAAACTTTCGCATTTATAATATTAGTTAGATTTCTATCGCAAATTCTTTGATTAGATTTATTATAAAAAATGTTTGTACATGTCCTTGAAAGATTACTATCTCTTGATGTTATTAATCGGCGCGTCAGATATTATTGTATTATTAGTCTTATCTTTTTTCCCACGTGCACATGCCAATATATATACAGAATCATTAAAAAACTAATCAGAAGGGTTTCGGCACGTTTAAGAACTAATTTTTGCAGGAACAAAGGTGAGACTACACATTTATTTTGACTTCGTATTCTGCCTGATATCCTACCTGATATAATTACATGAAATTGTTTTGAAAAAATGTATTTCTGTTGCATAATGTACTTCTGTCACAAAGGGACACACCACTTTTGGTGTTTTGAAGTTGCGCAAGATTTAATTCATATTTCAATTTAGTTCACGCCGGCAAACTAACAGACGATTACTTACCATCAGGTGATTACCTGATGGTAATCAATCGGCACCGCACATGGACACCTGCCACACTAGATGTGTTTCGAGTGGCTTTTCGGCCTTTAGGGGGCTTGGGGGTTTGAAATTGAGGGGGGTCACTGAGCCTTTTTGTGTCTATTTACGATAGCCTTATTTGAAGCGAAATATAACACATTCTACGCTGGTTTTGTATGAAGGTTGTTGTAATCACTTACTGGAAGTAAAATCACTCGTAAAAGCCAGTAAGTACTTAAAAGTAATTTTCTATTTCTTGCAGATGAAGAGCTTTGTCATCGTGTTGTTGGCTGGTTGCGCGATAGTGGGCTACTCATCTGCGACAGAAGTTGAACCAAGTGTGAAAAGTGAGGCACGTGGTGGATTGTCCTTAGGGACCCTTGGACCTGATGACAGACTGCTATCCAAGTGAGACTAATTTGTTTCTTGATTGCAAGATGGGTGTAGTGGCTTAACAACTAGGTTTTTTATGACGTAGATTGGCAAGAGAGCAGACGTATTACATAGTGATATTGACATCCTAAATAGGACTTAGGGGATTGGGGGAGGATTGGATTAGATGAGTTGTTAATCGGAAAGAAGAAACGACTTCTAGAACAATATTTTCTTATGAATTCGGGCAGCTGCTACTGCTGGACCCACCGAATGCGCCGCAGTTGACGTTCAGAATGCTTCGTAATACAACTCCCTAAAGCATTTTACAAATTATCAAAAGAGAGGAAATTGGTTCGGAAAATTTGTCACTGGCTAACATTTTTCTATTTTATTATTCCTCAGTACCAACCATGCAGTTGAAGCAGCAGTATACGTGGTGCAATCACAAGAGGTATTAATACGTACGGTTGAATATTCAAATATAACTTCAATTCATGTTTCTGAAGTCGGAACAACTACGAATGCAAGTGTTAGTGTTATTGACGGAGGGCTTAGGACCAATTTTGTTAAATTCCTTTTCCGATCACAGAAGGGACGAGCATACTCATATAATATAAGAATTCATGGCATAATTGAGTGTTAAAGTACTAGGGTAGATAACTTATGTTTATGTGCTAATGTTCGTCTGGTAGATTATTTAAAAAATTTAGCCTCGTATTTTTTATTTTCTCAAGGATACAACAACCATTTTCGATGATGTATTGACTTGAAATATCGCGTGACGTCACTTCTAGGTGCGTCTTATACTTAGAAATCGTTCGTTCGTATTACTAAACTTTGATTCATTTTATCCAAGTACTATTGCCTTATACGACAAAAAAATACGTGTCTAAATATTTTTTCATTACTCTGGTGAAAACAATAATATCTCGCGTTGTCGTAGAGATGATTTGCAAAAAACTTTGTAATATTATGAGACTATGTATATTATATTATATTGTTGTGCTCGTTGTTATGTGCGTTAATTGTTATGTAAATATAATAAAATTATTTAAGTACTTATATACGTTTAATTGTTTTGCCTCAATTGTGTCCTAAGTGATACTGAAGTCAGTAATTCACAATTTGCAATGTAATCTAATAAATTCAGCGTGGGAGAGCTATGCTTTTGCACGAATCGACGAAACAACGCAAGCGTTGTTTCACGTCGGTCTTCTGTGAGGACGTGGTATCATTCCAGTCGAGCCGGTCCATTCGTGACGAAGTCATATCTTAACACTTTATTTAGTTACTTACTGATAAACTTGAGATCACTCATTGGAGTTTTTATTATCAGTATTTGGTCAGTTCAACCACTTAATGATAAACATCGGATAACACAATATTAAAGTACATTTTTCACTAGATACATTGTCCAATATCAGTAGTTTGTTTGCGTAACAACTTTATCTTGAGGCGGGGTTACTGATAAGGAGTACAAATCATAGTTGCTCTTATTTGGTAACGCCTTAAAATAACGCCTTATGTAAATTATAATATATCACTTGAGATTTAACGATATTTACTTAACGCTTGTAATTTTACGTGGTACGTGCACCGGCAGCGCTCATGGCCGAGATATTAGTATGAACTTGGTGATCACGCAGACGGATCACCTGATGGTAAGCACTTGGAACACCAGAGGCGTTACCGGCCCTTTGGGGATTAAGAATTTGAAGATGGTTGGGGATTCAGTTATTGGGGTAATTGGGCATCCGGTAACCCCACTCACACGACAAAATATAACACAAGCGTTGTTTCACGTCGGTTTTCTGTGAGACAGTGTTATCACTCCGGTCGAACCGGCCGCGCGGTCCATTTGTGGTTCTCCTACGCTTGAATATACATAACTCGGCCTCTAAGAAGTTCATATATCTCGGCATGCTGTCATCGTTAGACTAAAACCAGCTAAAGAGCTTATCTTTTTGTTTGGTAAATAGACTTGCCCATATAATGTTATGTGAAATATTGATATCTAATTAGAAATGGATAGAATAAGTAAATATTTGTTTACTTTTTTATATATTTTTTTACTGTTCCCGCCTGATTCATTTTGTAATGCCTGAACTGATAATAATATAAACTCTTCAGCTACAGTATTGCTAATTAAAATGAATAGGAGTTGATATATATTTATCAGTCTAAAGATAACAAAAGTACCGAATAAAATATTACAGATCTTCCTACATACATAAATATTTTCATAAATCCTAATGAAATGTTATAAATGTAAAGTTGTCTGGTTTATAGGTAAGTTCCTAAATTATATTCAAACCACTGAACCCCCTTCAATAGCTGCGTTTCTATTCATCCATATGTTAAACGTTCGCAGTCAAGACTATCGAAGATAGTTCGAGTAATTGGCCAACAGATGGCGTACCTATCGTTGTTTGATAACATTTTATACAAGATTCGTAAACCTTACATCGTGTATATCAGATACGGTAATCAGATTGAATACAAAGGTATTGTCAATTGTGGCCCAGTTTGTCGGATATTTAGTACAATATACTTGTTGTTTCTAATTTTAGGGAACACAATAATACACTCGCTGTTCCCAAAACAAACACATAGTTAGTATGCTATGTTGTTACAGTATAAATAAATACCTATGCCACATTATACTATGTAATGCATATGTTTTTTATTCTTATTTATAAAAAAAACACCGTGAACG